GGTGTTGTAGAGGCCACGGACCAGACCTGCAGTAATTGCTTGCAGCGGCAGCCAATGGTTGTCCTGACAGGATAGGCAACCTACCCTACAATAGTTCTTCATATATTGAATTAAGTATTTTCAATTTTTCGTAATTGTCGTATTTTCAGTATGATAATAACACTACGGATTTATTATTGATTGGTTAATTTAAAATCAATAAATCGGATGAACTAGTGCATTGTGTTTCAATAAACAACAGAATAATAAGTCCATTTTCACGTGATCAGTAAACAACAAAATAAATTATTAACAATTTTTTTTTTTTTAAAATGAAGTACCATTTCCACGTGATCAGTAAATTTACTTTTTTCTTCTAAAGTTCTTCCAACTTTTCGAGCCTCCAGTAAAGAAGGGGTCTAGGTTTCCCCCCCTCTTCGACTCTTCCTTCACCCCCAATATGGCCGCTATCTCCTATGCATGAGCCGACATGACCATCTGCGTGAGTGACGATGGATGTATGCATTCAGTCCTGAAACTCGATGACTGACATCTGTTTTTTTTTTTATAAAAGATCTGTGTCCATTTTCACTCTTCCGCTGCATAATTGTTGTCCCTCACATTGGTGACATCCTTGGATCTGTGACATGCCGATCTGAGCGTCTTGGGCATACGACCTAGACTTCCGCTGAATGGAATTATCTCAAAGTCGAGTCTTGCTTCGTGAATAGTGCGGGTTAAAATTTCTTGATTTTTTCCTTTATCCCTCTCAACTCCATATTGATCTAGTTGTTCTGAAAAAAAGACAGGAAGGACCGGGACGGATTCAGACCGCTGGAATCTGGTGAAAGCCACTGAAAGGTGAAACGTCTCTTCCGGGAAGCATGCCAATGTGCGGTTTTCTGGTAGATTGCGAGTAACACTTGGAAATGTTCGATATAAAACGCAAGCATGAAAGAAAAAAAAATATTGAGTGACACCTGACCGAGCTTTCCAATCAGTAGTTTAGGAGTTTCGACAAACAATAACCACCTCTCTCTGTGTGTGTGTGTGTGTGTGTGTGTGTGTGTGTGTGTGTGTAATGAATCCGAGAAATTTGCATCATCATCTCTCTCTCTCTCTCTCTCTCTCTCTCTCTCTCTCTCTCTCTCTCTCTCTCTCTCTCTCTCTCTCTCTCTCTTTTCGCAATCTTTCTATCTGTCCCTCAACGGGCATTTCTGTCTTCTACGATCCCTCCTGCCCCTTTGTCCACTACGCTCTTATGCCCAACATCAACTCCGTTATTAACCATGAAATGCACGCACGGGCAGCAGAGAATGATCTGTCTACCTACCAGCCCACCTAGCAATCTACCAGCCTATAAATTCAATAAAGAATACAGTAGCCTGACCTACTTAGCCACCTAACTAAACTGCCCGCAAACATTCGCTGCTGATATGGGATGGAGCGGGGGCGGGGGTAGAAAGACTTGACTACCTCCCTCCACAATTATGTTTGTGCGATTGGATCTACCTCGCTAAACAGTCCTGCAAGAAAACTACGAATTTGAAAACAAAAAAATAAAATAAAAGAAAAAGGCGAAACACTCCGTCCACACTGCAGGAATGTTCTTCCGCGTGTGTCTTTCTGTCCAACTTCGACTTCAACTTCCGCCAAAGAGAACGCCGCCGTGCTCCTTGAAGAACGGTGCGAAGACGAGAGATTCGACTGCCATGAGCTTGATGAGAATGTTGAGGGATGGTCCGGACGTGTCCTTGAGGGGATCGCCCACCGTGTCTCCGATGACGGCCGCCTTGTGGCATGCGGAGCCCTTGGGTCCCAGCGCACGAGCCTGCGCCGTGTTCCCTGCCTCGATGTACTTCTTCGCGTTGTCCCACGCTCCGCCCGTGTTCGAAGCAGAGATGGCCATCTGCACGCCGGAGACCAGCGCACCGGCCAGAACGCCCGCCAGAGTGTACACTCCGAACAGGTACCCGGCGATGATGGGCGTGAGCATCACCAAGCATCCCGGCGCAATCATCTCCCTGAGGGAGGCGTCCGTGGAGATCATGACGCACTTCTTGTAGTCCGGCTTCACTGTGCCCTCCATTAGCCCCGCGATGGTGTTGAATTGCCGCCGCACCTCCTCCACCATAGCCAGCGCCGCCTTGCCAACGCTCTTCATCGTCATGGCCGAGAACCAGTAGGGCAGCATCGCCCCGACGATCAGGCCAACGAATTCCTTGGGCGCGATGACGTTCACCTCCGAGATGCCGGCGCGGTTCACGTACGCACCGAACAGAGCAAGCGACACCAGCGCAGCAGAGCCGATCGCGAAGCCCTTGCCGATGGCAGCCGTGGTGTTCCCAGCGGAGTCCAAAGCGTCCGTCTTCTCGCGGATGCCGGGACCCATCTCCGCCATCTCGGCGATCCCGCCGGCGTTGTCGCTGATGGGGCCGTAGGCGTCGATGGCCAGACACGTGGACAGGGTGCTCAGCATTCCGAGCGCCGCGCAGGCGATGCCGTACATGGCGGCGAGCGTGTAGGAGAGGTAGACGGCCCCAGCTATGGCGAAGACGGGAATGATCACGGACTTGTACCCCAAAGCCAGACCGAAGATTATGTTGGTCGCCGCTCCCGTCCGACAAGCGTCCGCCACATCGCGGACAGGGCTGTACTGGTGGCTGGTGAAGAACTCCGTGACGTATCCGATGATGAGACCCGCCCACAGGCCGGCGGCCACGCAGAAGAACATGTACCAGTTCTTGACAACCTTGTCCTCGTGCCCCGCCACGACAATGCTGAATTGCGCGGGAAGGCACAAGTACGAGACGGCGAAGATGGTCGGCGTCATCAGCACGGAGGAGACGAGCAGCTGCCTCTTCAGGCTGGGCTCTATGTCCTTGATGGTGTCCACTACCTGGATGTCCGTCGCCACGAGAGTCGTCAGCAGGCAAACGAGGATGCCCGAGCCCGTGATGAGCAGAGGAAAGCTCATCGCGGTGAAATCCAGGTCCGTGCCCATGGACGACAGCGAAGAGATCACCAACGCAGCGCACGTGGACTCCGCGAAAGACCCGAACAAGTCCGCGCCCATGCCCGCGATGTCGCCAACGTTGTCGCCCACGTTGTCTGCAATCACGGCGGGGTTTCTGGGATCGTCCTCCGGAATGTTGCGCTCGACTTTCCCCACCAGATCCGCGCCCACGTCCGCCGCCTTCGTGTAGATGCCCCCTCCCACGCGCCCGAACAGAGCCACTGACGATCCGCCAAGCCCGTAGCCCGCGATGGCCTCGTACAGCCCCACCCAATCATCGCCGAAGTACTGCTTGAACCCCAGAATGGCCAGGAAGAGGACCAGCAGCCCGTTGGCCGTCAGCAGGAAGCCCATCACGGAGCCAGACCGGAATGCAACAGCGAACGCCGCGCCAACGCCCTTCCTCGCCTGCAGCGTCGTCCTCGCATTCGCGTACGTGGCGATCTTCATTCCCAGGAAGCCGGACAGCGTGGACGTCAGAGCCCCCAGAGCGAAGGCAACGGCGCTGAAGAAGGCCACAGCCGTGCCCGGCGCACACAACTTCCCCGTGGGATCGCTAGGATCGCACGGCTTCCACTCCCTCCCAAAGCTGTCCACAGATCCAAGGAAAAGGAAGATGATGGCGGTGAAAAGCGTCATGAAGATGGCCAGATACCAGTACTCCGTCGTCAAGAACGACACCGCTCCGAGCGAGATGGCCTCCTGAATCTCCGCCACCTTGGCAATCACGCCGGCATCCTCGATTCCCCCCTCGTCCGCGATCAGAGAGTACTCCCCATCTGCGCTAGCGCCGGATCGCACCGGGATCTTCGCCACAATGGACCATTGCAGAATGGCGAACGCGATCCCGATGAGCGCGGAGGCTGGGATGAAAACCTGAACAGCCCACGGCGTCGCCAATGTCGCCCCCAATGCCTCCACACCCACGGCTGTGGACGAAGCCATCATAGCCGAAATCCCCGTGCTGCCGTTGCTGCTCGCAGCTGCGGCGCCTCCTACGCTTGTTCTGCTACAGCGACGACACCGGCCCCCGCGCGGGAGCAGCTTCTACCGCTTTCTTCCTTCGCTCCCTCCCTTTCTACTTCACCTATTGATTGATTGATCTCACTTCCTCTCCCCCATCCTTTCCTCTTATTCCACTTGAACGCAATGCCGCCGCCCTGTAGCGCGCAGGAACCCGCCCGCTTCCGCGCTACTCCCGCCACCGTTCCACTCGCTCACTGTTGGCCGAAAAGGCAGCGCTTCTGCCACTATATATAGCTTCGGCGATGGTCTTAATCTCTACTATGTTCCCCTGTCGCCGCTGAGGGCCTGACCTATATATCGGTGAATCCGTCGCCACACCACTGTCGAATCGAAACGAGAAAAGAACGAATGCATGTTTCCGCAGAAAGCGGTACGATGCATCCGTCGCTATTCAGAGCAACGGCTGTATCTTGCCCTTCTCGGCGGGAATATGCGCAGTCGTTCTCTTTTCGTTTCGACAGTGTGTGGAGAGTCACGCCGCTATTGGAGTCACGCCGCTATTGGGCCTCGCTCCACCATTCTCGGCATGGCAAAACGAGAGTGAATCTTCCGCTAAAACGTGGAAAGATACACCGCCATGATTTGTCTTTTTTGCATGTCGAGAGTAGTGGAGCCGAGTCGGACTTGCGCACGCACTGGCTCTCTGGCTGCCGACAGCCAAGCAGCCATGCGAGCCGCCATTGTTTTTTGTCGTTTAGTACTCTTTTTCCCACCGACAGCCAAGCACCCATGCAGCCTCCATTGGTTTTCAAATTGTCGTTTACTTCTTTTTCTTTCCGTCCTTCGAGTTGCACAGTGTGAAGTTTTCTGGAAAAAATTCCAGCGGCCTGAGAGAAGAATATAGCTTTACAGAAGAAAAAAAGAAAAGAAGTCTTCTGGAAAAAAAAAAAAAAAAAAAAAAGCAGAGAGTGTGAACACTCCTGCAAAATAATAGTGCATGACGCGGGACTTCTGCGTGTCATCCTTGCGCAAGGGCCATGCTAATCTTCTTTCTCGTACCAAAGAGCCAGCTCAGTGGGTACACCCTTGCACTGTTGAAATACAAAACCTGTGTTCGAATCCAGATGATGGAACTTGATGAGTAAAACCAACTACTAATGAATTGCCTGGGGCTGGTCAGCTGAATGATAATATCTCAAGGCCGTCGCCCTTTTTACAAAAATAAATAAATAAATAAATAATAAAAATAAATCTTCTTTCTCTGTGTCGTTCCAATTTTAAGTGATGTCCCAAGGGACTCGTTATTGATTTTCGGGACCGTTGGTAGATAATTGGTGCCAGATTTGCTGTGTATGATTGGACTTCTTTTCCTTCTTCTTTTTTTTCTTCTTCTTTCTGATGACTGGGCGTTTCATCGACGGCAGCCCTGCGCTTTGCATCCAGCTAGGATCAGCCCTTACTGATGAGAGCCAACGGGACTGGCTCCACTGCTTTCCAATGTACAACATGAGACTGAATTCTCCAGCAGAACACGGAAAGATACATTGCCACAATTTTTGTCTTTTGTGCATGTGGAGACTAGAGGAGCGAGGCCCAGTAGACTGTCCGCCGTGAAGATGGTGCATTTAAGTGGCTGGGAAATTCATTCGGGCACATCATAAACGAGTTCAGTCGGCTTCAATAGATGTGAAGGGTCGCCATGTTTTGACAAGGGAGAGAGCGAGAGAGGGAGAGGAAGGAGGGGAAGGACCGCCATGTTTTTTTTTTTTTTTTTTT